TTGCCATGGGAGCGGCCGCGCGCGGGAAGGGGGGCGCGGGCAGTGCCGGCAGCGGAAGGACCCGGCGCCCCTCCTCCGTAGCGCGGCCAGCGCACGTCACGACGGGGCTCACGTACCCGGGAGGAGGGGCGGGGCCAGGTCAGCGGGGGCTCCGCGTGTTGGTGCTACCCGGACCCCGGGCACAGCAGCCGCTCTACACCCTCGGCCCCGCCCACTCCCGGCCTGCGCATGCATATCAGGCAGGCGTGAGCTCAGGACTGGCGCATGTGCACACGTCCCTTTCTCAGGAAACGCGAAAGCGTCACCTCCCCTCCCCAAGTCCGCCTAGTGCGCCCGTGTGGCCTCTTGCGCACGCGCGCTGCGGCGGGCTCCCGATTGGTCCGTTCCCTGTTGGATCCCGCCTCTGCCATTTGCTGCCGGACCGTGGGCGGATGAAGGGACCTTTCCCTTCCGGGGAAGTGTTGCTAAGCAACGGGTTCTCATAGCAACTGCGTTGTTGTAGGCAAAACCCTGGTCTCTTTCTCTGGACAGAGCCTGAGCCGGGCGGTGCGATGGGCGCGGGGAGGGGCAGGGGAGAGCGGGGCCTGCGGCGGTGGGAGGGTCTGATGGGGGAGAGGAAAAGGGGGTGACACGCAGAGGGGGAGGAGGGGATGGAGGAAGAGAGAGGAGCCGGTTCAAAGTGGACTGAAGTGTCAGGGGAAATAGAGGAGGGGGGAAGGGAGACTGGAAAAGGAGGAGGTGGGAGGCAGGCACTGGCATGGGGAGTCCGGGGGGGCAGGAGCATCCTGACATGCCTGCGCTTTCTGTTCTCCACAGAGCTGAGGATGGCACAGGTGTGCGCCCAGGAGAACCTCTACAACCTCCTGCCCCGGCTGGAGGAGAAGGCTGTCAGACCTCCTCGGTAGGTGTGTAAGGGCTGTTTTCTCATCCGGAGAATCACCATGACCAAACACAGGTTTTGTCAATAAATAGCAGAGGAATGTGCTGGGCCTGCCCTGGTATAAGTGACGTTAAGGTATAGGGGCACTGAGATGGGTGGATTTGATTTAAATCAAATTGATTTAAATCACAATTTAAATCACTGGTCAGGAAGCCTGGGTTTAAATCATTGTTTTCTACAAAATGCAGTCTTGTTGTTTGATAGCCTTTATTCATTTAACTTCTTGAAACCTTTAGAGAGGGCTTGACTCTGTGGGCACAGACTTGCAGAGAGACAAGAGTGCAGATGGGTAGGTAATGAGGTCTGTTATCTCTCATCTCCATATACTGCTGTTAACAAGGATGTTATCTCTGGAGACACAAATCCACAGTTTGAGACCTAAAAGGAAGCATGACAGAGATGTTTAATGGGTCCCATTGGGTAGAGTGGTTTTCTTTAATTTTTACTAATCTATAGAGGAGCCTCCGGGAACCCCATAAGATTGGGCCCCTAATATAGTCCATGGCCTGTTGTGACCAATGTTGTAAAACTTTTCTAAAAAGGTTACATGAATATATCGTCTCAAATAGTATATAATTAGAAGTTATAATCCCTATTCCATGATGATATCTTTGAGCTTTAACATATTTTAAATTAAAGCTATCTTTATATCAGTTTTTAAAAAAGCAAGCATCTTAAATAAAACTACAATTGAATAAAAAAACTGATTTAAATTAAAAAATCCATTTTTTGATTTAAATAAATAATTGCTTTTTATCCACCCTGCACCGAGATTTCATACAGATAGCCCTGCCTGAGACCTGAGTGGCTGGCCAGAAAATGGGGGTCTTGCAGATGGTTCTGTTTAGCAAGAGGAATTGAGGAGGGGGCCAGGAGTCTTGGATGAAGTTCTGTTTATTCACAAAGAATGGACAAAGCACTGTTTTCCTTAGCAGAGGAGGAATCAAAACGATAACTTCCTTGCTTGCACTTCCAAGTCTGTTTCAGACAGTACCCAACCCAAGAGCTCTCTTTCTAGGCTTTGCCAGGGTCATGGTACCAGTAGTTCTGTTCCTCCACCTAACTTGCTTCTCTGTCCATGTCTTTGCATATTGTTTTTCATGTTTCTCCCCCAACACACACATTTACTTAAAACAATGCCCACCAAATCCCTCTGCTCACACTGTACTAATACCTGAGTGTATTCACATATGTCCTATGTTTGGAGAGTGATGTGTTTGTTTGTTGTGAGGCACGTGTTGTTCCTTGTATTTATTCTGAATGAAAAGTAGCTGTTATGCTTGTCTGTTTCATTAATCCATAACACACTGCTGTCAAAGTGAATCAAAATGTCAGTGTGTTTAACTGGAACAAAGATACTCAATTTTATTTCAACTAAAAGGTCCGCTTTGCTAATTCACCAAATTCTTAGAAGTCACTGTAGGGATGTAGCTGCCATATCTGGATATCTAAGTAGTGACAGGTAGGGCTGGCCACAAAAGACAACAAAGAAAACACCATATGCCACACCCTTCCTAAACTATCACACTCTCTCCACATGCAAGGACCTCACCCTCCCTAAAACTGATCTCCCTCAGAGAGAAAAGTCCTCCTCATTTCTACAGTCATTGTTTTTTTCCTTCCCATATCTACACCATCAGAGTGGCCAAATGAAGAACATTCACATATCTACACAGTCTGTTACAAACATGGCCTCCACATCGCTAACCCTCCAGTCATGGAATTGCGGAAGGAAGATTCCTTTTCCGTCATAATCACAGGT